GCGTGCGTGCGTGCGTGCGTGCGTATCGGAGCGCTATCGACAAGGGTTCGTCGAGTCAGGTCAGCATGCGGAAAACGTCGCGGGTACGTGTGGAGAGGCGCTAAAACACGGTAAATGCACCCCACACAGAGCTCCGCTGTGCCGGTGCCCCTGTGGCCCCTGTGCCGTAACCACACTCTTCCGGCCAGGGCATTACGCCGACAGGAGCTGGAAAAGCGACCGGAAGCTTGCAGTGAAAGCCCAAACTTCAAAACCGACCACACCGAGTCTCAGTCCCGTGTCCGTATGACCACCACGATTGGCCGCTGCTGCTAGCTAGATGATGCAGTGCCCCGGTCGAAAAACTCAGGCAAGTACAGGAACTTGGGAACACAAGGTTTTGCTGACGCTACAGGTCCTGGGGAACGTCTGAGCTTGCAACTGCCGAGACGCTTTTCACGCCGTTCGAATGCCGTCATGCCACCAGCCTGAGAAGCAGCAAAACCTTGATTGACACGAATGAGCTTACGAAGCTTTCGCCGAGACCAGAGCTAGAGCCTTTTCCCAGACAGCTTCACGCGACAAAGTGCGATACCTGCAGTCAGAGCTTCCGGTCCCTGTCCTCCCTTGAAAACTGCGACTGACCACTCTGTCTGCACCTTGGCCCCAGGAGCGCCATGAGGTCGCCCAAGCGCTCGATCATCTCCGGCCTCAGAGCGACGAACGTCTGCGCGGATCCGGCGCTTCACGTGGAGGCGCAAGCGGGTCCTGCTTCAGACCTGGAAAGCGATTGCAAAAGCAGACCACTTAACACGATTCCCGTTAGAGCCTGTCTCCCAATTCGCTTTCAAGGCAGCAGCTTCTTCTTCAACGGCTTGGAAAAGCTCTTCCTGCATGCTTTCACACTATTTTGTGCGCTTCTGGTGTCAGCAGCGGCGTGAAGCCACGGTAAATGCAGAGTCGTGTCTCGGCTGTACAATTTCGTTTGCGTGTGGCTCTGTATAACTGTACAACCCTGACGAATGGAGGAAAGGAGAGACGGAGGGAAGGAAGGAAGGAAGGAAGGAGCGAACCGCACAGGTTGAGAGGCTGAGCGAAAAGTCGCTGAAGTCCCATGAACCGACATCAAATCAACAACACGACTCGCCCCACGTGTCGAGTCAATGCTTTGCCCTTCCTCGCGATTGCTTGTGCCGAACAGGCGGTCTTCCTCAGTTTCGGCAGTCTCGAGGTGACCTGCCGCAAGTCAGGCACCGACAAGCTAGCGACGTTTGACAATCCGTGCCAAAAATGCGCGCTGATGGAGCAATGGCGAGGCGGGTTCTTGTTTGGCTTAACCGAGCACCGCACCCCCCGCCGCCCGGCCCAGGGCGGGGGCAGGAGGGTGGGGGAGGGCGGGGCCCCATCTTTCTATCCGACTACGGCTAAAACTGCTACTGCTACTACTTCTACTACTACTACTAAAACTATTATTACTACTACGATTACTATTATTATTATTACTACTAGTACTACTAAAACTATTATTACTACTACGATTACTATTATTATTATTATTATTACTACTACTACTACTACTACTACTACTACTACTACTACTATTACTACGAGCGCTGCTGCTACTGCTACTCCTACGGCTGCCACCATGACCACCACCAGAGGGAGGAAAAGAATGACAGGGAGGGGTTCCTATTCGGCCGAAAACCAAGCATGCCCCCCTCTTCTTTCCAAACAGGAAGCCCCCCCTTTTCTTTGGCCCAAGCAGGAAGACCCCGCCCTGCTTCTTTAGACGCCCCTTATGTCAAACAAGAACGCCCCACCCCGCTATCGGCCATGCCAGGCTGCCCGGCCTGCATGTATTCGGGTCTCCCAAAAGCTCGGATCTGCAAAGTCTTTTCTGGTGTCAGATTTCTGCTCCAAACACATTCAGGGAACCGCTTTGGAACACCTTTGCAGGCCATGGTTGACTATCACAGAAGATACCTTCATCGATTCGGTAAAGCTTCGCACGAATCTTGGTCTTGGTCCGTGCTATTAAGAACAAGTATACATTCCTCGGAATGTGCACGGCCAGACATCGGCAAGCCGTTCAACCGCCGAATGGAACTGGCGGAGCCTGCGAAGAATAGTCCTCCCTGAGTCTTCTTTGGAGATGCCCGCCTGAGAGCTTCAGCATCTGCAGACAAGAACAGATCTTTGGTACAGGCCTGGATCTGGAAATTGCCAGAGAGGAAGTGCTAGTCAGACCGAGATCCAATTTTTCCGACTTTTCTCCTAGAGACAGCAGTCGTGAGGCAGCAGAAGTGCAGCCTGCGCCACATCTTGGGCTCCGGCCGTTTGGATCTGTAGTGTCTGGCTCCACTAGCGTCTGCTGCACTTCCATGCACATGGCTAAAGGATGAGTTGCAATCTCTGCCGCCTGGAAGCCGTCCGATGGACCGAAAGGGAACGAACCTCCGCTGGTCGAGCGAATCCGCGAGCCTTGCGAGGCTGGCCTGGTCGACGGGTCGAAACACGGACACGACGCCCGGCCAAGCGGTTTCGAGCCAAACAACTCTCGACGCCTCTGACTTGCCGCACCAGGGTGGATGCAAGGATGCATCCACACCGGGTAGGATGCCGCAAAACCTGGCTGTAACGGTTCTAAACTTGGCCCCGATTTCTGACAATAGTGGACGGCATGGCTCCATTAAGCTTCGCTGAGATCACGAGTGGACACTTTGCCGGGTGACGCAGGTGGCATGTAAACCTTCTCAAGTCAAGCGGATCCATACTTGAATTCTGCGCACTTCGTTGTGCAAAAGCGCCTGCGCCGACGGCGACCTAAGCTTGGGCCAACTATTAGCACCCATGTCACAGGTTTGCCAGGTACGAACGGAATAAAATCTCACACATTGTATCGGTTCTATTGTGCTTCTGTGCACGAAGGCCAGAGGTCGGAAACTGCTGGAAGATAGAAGGATGCTGAGAAGGCAGCATGAAGGTCGTGGTGGTGCTGCTGGTGCTGCTGCCGGCAGTGGTGGTGGTGGTAGTGGTGGTGGTGGTGGCGGGGTGGCGGCGGCGGCGCTGGTGGTGCTGGTGGTGGTGCTGCTGCTGCTGGTGGTGCTGCTGCTCCCCCTAGCGGATACTCCCTGAGCAAGAGTCCCGTTTATCTTGCCCCCCGCCAAGATTACCAAGATTGCCAACACAATTAGCGGTTCTAAATTACCTGCACAACGTCGTAGCAGCAGCAGCCGAAGCAGTAGCAAAAGTAGTGGTAGTGGTAATGGTCTTTGAATTGGCAGCAGTAGAAGAAGAAGTAGTAGT